TAAGTGAGATCGTTTCACTGGGTTTTTGAAACCGTTGATTTGTGTTTCAAACTGATAATTTAGAATTCAATACATTTGAAAAGATCAATAGTTTGCTAAATGAAGAAGAGAGAATTGAATTTGGAGATATAAAACAGAACGGTCAATTTTAACTGGCCGGTCAAATTAGAATTGGCTGGTCAAGTTAAATGAACTTTATATTTGGAAAAATCAAATCAGATTTTCAATGTTTGTTTGCTTTTAACTGAAAAAAATTGACTATTTGTTATGTTATTAAGTATTTATTGGATGATGCAACTAAAAAGCGTGAATATGTACTTATCATGGTGGCGTTCTTCAAGGAAGAGTTAAATTTGAAATTATTTTTCATTATCTTGATCACATTAAATACCTGCTTCAATTGGTCAGGTTACCCATTTCTTTAAGCGTTCTCAGACCGTACAGACAGAACCGTGAAAACATCCGATATTTATTTCCAACTCAGTCCTTCCCAATCAATTCTAAAATGGATAGTTGCCATTTCTCCGTGTAATCAAAGAAACCATTTAAAAGAGAAATGTCTTATTTTGCGGAATAAAAAGGCAAGTAAAAGGCTATAATCAAATTTATGTTTCTATACCAGAAATTCAATGATTTTTTTCTCCACCATTTTCTTTAAAGTTGAACATGCTGATGGCGTTTTTGTTCTGTCGACACAAAGTCGTTGATCCTATTTAAAGGCGACCCCTCGAATCTCTTTTTTTTAATTATAAATCTGAATTTCGCTAATGGAATGGTATACGTGTTTTAGTAGTTCATAATTTAGCTTTTGTGATTCATTCAGAATTCATTGTCCATATTTGCCGAAATTTGGAATGAATGCATACTAGACTACGCATTAAATATAGTTTACAGAATTTATGGTAGTTACAGAATGATATGGCTTTTCACCTTTAATAATTTGACGGATATCTAAAATTGTAAATGTCGTATTCAACACTTTAATCAATACTACTGACTTTAAACCAATCTTATTCTGCTCAGTAATTTTCTAGTTGACACGATTATCAAGCCTAAGTTAGTAAACTACTTTTATTACTGGATAACAGAGAAAACAAATTGCCCGTCAGTCATGAGGGAATCGTACAAATTTTATTTCCATTTTAGAGACATGGTTTGCAGCGAAACGAAATTAAAGTCATTACCGTATATAAACCGAAACGACGAATTATTTGTTTGGTATACAACAAATCACGTCGGCTGTACATTTAGAGCCTACACAATTTAAAATCAATTTTCAATGATATTATCTGAATTCAGTGATCAATATAAAATGACTTTGATGAGTGACAACACACTGACTGGTGTGTTAAAATGTCCGAAAGGTCATATTTGAAAATGAAATTATCATTTAGGTTTGGAATGTTATGAAACGTCTGAAAATACCTGCCTGCTCACTCCTTTTTTTAATTGCTTCTGCGAAACCGTTTTAGGAACTTTCGGCAGAATTTTAAGTCGTTATGCTCATGCTTTAACATAGTTTACATAACATTATTGTGCTTTTCAATCTCATCATAATACCTTTCTGCTCCTTTTTCAGTGAGGGTAAACTTGAAGCTTATTTAGGGGATTACCCTATTTTGGACTATGCAAGAGCTCACCTCGCTCCACGATGTGAGCTCAAACTTTTACTCAAAATATTTGGTGATGACCGGTATGGTTTTGGGCTTCCAAAGGGTTCACCATTAAAGGTAAGCGGTTGACAATGTTTTGCGTTTCCTATGTAAGAAAGGGATGGGATTCTGATATTGCAAATTTTGCTGACTCTTAGCTAGCCTCTGATAGATGAACTGTCGATGGACGAACCTGGTTCTGAATTGACAATATATCCGGTTAACCGGATACCGAGTTCGTAAATTAATTTTATTGTATTGATGTATTTTAGGTGGCGCTTTCTAGAAAAATATCGGAATATCATCAAAACAGTCAGATTGAAGATTTAATAGATGTTCATTTTGCTGATGCTCAATGTTATAAACAGAGAATCAGTCAAGAAGAATCTCAACTTGAAGTCTCACATCACGCGGGATTATTCGTTATGATGTGTGTTGGTATTATTATTGGTATTATAGTACTATTTATAGAACATGGTGTTTTTAAATGGATGGTACCATTTTATAGACAGAAGCCTGGGGACAGTATTTGGAAAAGTTCCCATGTTATGTTTTTTAGTCAGGTTGGTTCACTTGTTTTTTTTTCTGATCACAATGTCCATTCCAAACATAGACAATGGTAACATTCTTCCAGAATAGATTATTATATGCTTACCTATAAATATTATCTATGACTGTTGGACAGTCATTAGGCATGTGGACTGATTAATGAATTGACCTTACCATTGGTACATGTGACTATTGCATTAAAACCAGTACCTTGATAGCAATGCCCTTGCTTTCATTGTCAGTCCTTGAATATTCAATGAAATTATTCATGAAAAACTCACATGCATATCTAAATGTAATTTCAGAGACTTCACAGGTCAATCACGAGTGCCGAACTACTTTCCGCCCACGAATCTGCTAAGGAGCTGATGGGGATGGTCAAAAATAGAGAATTTGCCAGACTCTTTCAGAAAAGTACAATAAGAGTAAGTATGATTTAAATATTATGTCTTACTGTTCTGTAGAATGAGCTGAGATTCAGGAGATCATCCAGATACTCCATGAGATGCTTGCTACTATGAAGCTTCAACAGTTTCCTCATTTTGGATTAAGGCTCGATAGTATATCTATTTAGTCCTACATGTACAACCAGTATCGGAAGGCTGCTACACGATGCTTGATTATCTGCTTATTAACCAATCTTCCCTTAAATTGAACATTTCAAGATTTTTCGAAACCTGTTTTGTTCATTGAATGTGCCAAATTTTTCCTGATACTGTCCATCCTCAAATACGATCAATGATGTTCAAGTAGACGGTTTCGTCCTTGAGAATATTTGCTCAGACAGCCAAAACGAAACGAAACTATTTTATATCTGCACTTATTGAAAAAATACGGCTCGGAAGCCATGAAAGGAAAGTCAAGTTTTCATTTGATACTATGGAATAAAAAATTTAATCAAATCCATAAAACTATTTGAATTGATAGAAAATGTATCCAAGTTGATTTGGTTCGTGTGTGTAATGTGCCAAGATTGTTCTTAAGAAGTTTTAGACGGTTTAAGATGACTGTGATGTTTTTCCTTACTCATTGATTCCGTTTTTTTTATTGAATATGTTTGATTGAATTTGTGGTTACACCGTTTGATTCTTGATCGATCAATCAGTAACAAACTTCTTATCTACTTTCAAATACTGCGGCTTATGAGATGATTGAAGAATAACATAAAACGTTGTCCCACTGACAGTAGAAGTAAACAATCCACACTGACAATTTTAGCGTTATCTCAGCTTGGCTCGGGAGAAAACGTTGAAAGGCACAAACGCTCTTATATATAGGTCAGATTCGTCAAGCCATTGATGCTGCCCTGGAAAAATACATACAGATGCCTACTACATTGTGTTTTCCCTAACGGCACAATGAGAAGAATAAGTTAATGAAATTATTTTATAATCATAACAATACACTGCCAATTTGTTAAAACTGGCATCCCTTTCATGTTAAAGGGGCATTCCGCTTTTCTTGTAGGTCAAAATATGTTTTGCCTTACAACAAAATCTAGAGAAAAGTGTCCCTAAAGGTATCTAAAACTTCCAGTCGATACTTTTTTATTAACGCCGAAACTATTTACAAAGTTTACGTTTTATGCTTTTTGGAAGCTGTTAGAAAACAGCTCTGCAGAATTGAGTAAAATAAACGTCTTATTTTAGAGAAATAGGTCTCCTATGCATTCTAGAGGTTCCAACAAAAAATACCGAGTCATTATAAAACTATAACACCAAAACTAGGTCAAACTCTTTAATTAACAATTAGCACTCTCCGTTTTAATTAATCCTTTTAAAACAAATTCAGTTTGAAAGAGATATAAATAGCATACGTTAGATATATTTTCAGGTATCATTTTTTGATAATGAAAATTTTGAAAACCGCCCCTTTAAAAATGAACGATTAAGATATGACATAAAACCTTAGCAAGTTTGATTAATCTGAAGCGCGATCTGAAACAAGATCTTAACCGGGCAAACGATGCACAAATAGCTAATATCACTTTCATAAGCAAACTGTAGATTGCGACATTGCTGAGAGTGACGCTCCTCGCTTGGACACGAAGGAAGAATATGAGACTGATCCATCTCTATCTGTCGGGTCCCATTACTAGTATTTTTACTATGAGGGCTAATATAAGGTCAGTCATAGTTTTCATCGTAACGCTCTCTGTAGACTTCAAACAATAACCACATCTACTGTAGACATCAAATAAACATGTTTAGAAGATATCATATATACACATTTTCAACTTTAATTATCTTTTTAAATTCAATTTTCTTTTTGTCAAATTCGCCATGAGACATTTGCCTTGATGTAGTTACTGTCCTGACGTTTCCAACATATAACATAATATATTCCATATTTTAGAAAATGGTAAAAAAATAATATATTATATACTATTTAGATGAGTGGATTTAAAACAGGAAACTATCATACAATCTGACACGTTCTGAAAGATTTATTACGTTAAAAAACCCGCCAACCTTAACAAGCCTAATATCTCTTCTGGTCATTTACTCTTCAATCTAGACGATAAACAACACTTGACTGCATTTAATATTTCATTCTTACATTTTATCTGCCTATGGTCGTCTCCCGGCAATATTTGATTGGCTTTTGCTTGGAATTAAAGGACGCATTGGCATGATCCATTGACGTTAAGTATGAGTGTAATGATTTTGATCAATCGTAAGCATTTCCATTATATCTGGGTAAATAAAAAGTGTAAAAATTGTGCTACTTGGACCTTAGTATCTCGCTTTCAAACATTAATCAGCCATATTATACTTTCAGAAAAATAAACTGGCAGATATGGCTAAAACAAAGCGAATTAATCGTAATTTTTATGATATTGTTGAGAAGGCCAAATGGTAAGTATATGTAATTATTTGTCCATATTTCAATTAAGAAGTCTCTGATTGAAAACGCTGTAAGGATTCATCATTGTCTTATCTAAGTATATCACAACTCACAGTCTTAGAATATAGCCTCGCTAACTAAGTTTCTGTGACTAAGACCAAATCTAATTAAACTGCAGATCTGGCTGTTGAAGAATCCTCTAGTTGAACAGAGCATTTGAATATTAAATCATTCAGAAAACGACATTTCGTCAGATCATGAAACTGCAATCACCTGCAGAAAAAAACGAAACTATTCATTCAGATTTGCATTTTAATCATAGAAAGTCCCTTCTCCGTATTTAAAGGCCAATAATATATTATTGTTTATCAATATTGTAAAGTGAAATTTGGTGTTTGCATTAAAGTCGGTAGAGAAAGTAATTCTTGTTCATTATAACTTTGTCACAAACAGTAACTGTGATATACATATTTTTAAAAAAAAGGCGAGTAATCGGAGATTTCACTACTTTAAAAGAGACCATAGTCTCAGTGTACTAACGTGACTGTAAATTACTGTTTCTTGACAAAAAAGCCAAAGAGAATGGTCTGGCATCTCAAAAATAAAACAAAACTTAAATCTTTTTCTATGTCAATAATAAGTATGATATTTTCTCCTTCTACAGCAAAGACGACACGAGTGGTATAATATTTGGCAGGTTTGTCCCGTGATCACCTCCAACCCTCTCACTATTCCTGATGCACTATCTTTCCGTATCACTCCATTGCATTATAGAACTCATTTCTAATCTTTCAGAGAGGTCATACAACCCTTACAATTAGACTGGAATTATATTTCACAAAGAGTTACTCCTCTTTGGAAGGGATGATCGAATTGAATTGTCTCCATTCAATTTTCAAAAACGACAACGTTCGGAATGTTAGTTCAGGAGGGTAAAGGGTTTTGTGAACCTCAAGCTTAATTAAATCTGCAATCCAAAGAGTTAATGGTCAGACAGAATCAGGCTTCAGTTTCTCTCTACATGCTTATCAATTCGGTCCTTAAATCCTGATGTTAGTAAGCCTATATATCTATTGTCATTTCAGTAATCGAAAAACCTTATCATGAATCATAGTCTCCAGAATGGGCAAAGGCTGTAATTTTAGATAAATTAGCAATGCGTAATAGCAGAAACTGTTAACCATTCACAGTCACAGTTTTGCTTGTTTTATAAATGTGAACTACACAATCCTTTGTTTGAAACATAAAGGCAGTTTATGTTGGATGAATGGACATGTAATAATTTCAGATGATCTTGGGGACAGGTCAATCTTACAGGAGTCTCTATTTTTTACAATAGCAGCCTAACAAGTGTTGGAGATGACTTGCACTAGTTTGGTTAAAATCGTTTTTTGATTTCGAAAAGTACTCTGCTGTGGTCACAAAGTCCTTTCTTTTTTTCTAGAATTAGTTTCTAATTTTCAATATTTTCCTCGTGATTTTCGAGGGTAAAGCGTCTTTTGGGCAGCTACGTATGAAACCACATAAAACAAAGATAAATAGCTCCCTTGTTTAGCCTACGCGAATAAAAGGCTATGTGGTGTTGGGTTAAGTGTTAAATGTCTGTTCTTATAGTTAGAAACAATTGTCATATTCTACGATATCTTTAAAGATTTTAAAATTCGAATTTGTATTCTTTCTATTTCCAGGCTACATGAAATGAAAGAAATGAATTTGATGGATGATGGGGAAGACATCGCTCCGCCTAACATAATTGAAATCCCATTGAAAGATTTGGGTGCTAAAATTGATATTGAGGCTGCCAAGGACGATACAGATCAGTTGACAATCGAAGACGAGAATTCCCATTCGAGAGAACTTTTGCTGGTCGAGGATGTTGAGAGAGGTTTAGCATCTCAATGTCGTGGAACAGATAATAGTAGCACACTGTCTAATAGATCATTAGAACGGTTATTTTGTGAAGATAATCCATCGAGTTCTTCTTCATCGTCGAATAACACCCCTAACAACGCCGTCACCTACAAAACTTTAAACTATTGCAATTTGCCCACATCTTCACGAGCCAGATACCTTGATACGCTTCCCAACGGACATATATTTGGAGGTGGTTTCGAGCCTTGTGACTCTGAAATAACTCACAACAGACTCGAGACTCCCAGTGTTTTATTTAAAGCTCTGACTGATGAAAGTCATAATTATAACCCATCAGCACAACCTACAACCCTCCTACCTAAGACAAATAACATGGTGCGCAATCTACTTCATAAAACCCAATCGTACCAAGATCATCTGTGTTCGGTTGATGATGCTGTACCAGGGACGTTCAGTATGGAAACAGTCACAAAAGAAGAACTTCTAATAATGTGGAAGACTTCTGAGATTGAACTCAGCAAGCAGCTGGAGCAAGCTTTGAGAGAAAAGGCCAAATTAGAACGGAAGTTAGCACAATTACAACATCATTCACCAGTTTGAATAAAGCCATACTTTCATTTGATTGGTCTAATTTTTCTCTTCTTTGCACGTGGCACTTTGAGACTTCCGGTCCTGTCCAGTTCGAGGTTTTTGTCCATGAGGAACGAAGATGGTCGGTATATTTTTATTGGATTCCATTGAAAGAAATCCATGTCTGCTGAAATTCTGGAGAGATTGAAAGATAGATAGTTATGCGCAGAAGAATAGTGGAGTTATTTCAGCGAACATTGTTTTAGAAGATGCAATACAATTTTTGTAACTATTGATAGTAACAACACATTCTATTGATCTTATATGCCCAGGATTTGTGATAATATAGTAATTCCATTAAAGTAAATGTTGTAATGTTGTTGAACATATCATTTTGTTTTCTACATAGATAATCTTTTCTCGTACACTTTGTTTTCATATTCATCTTATTTGGACCAAATCTCAAAGAGAGTCGATGTCTTCACATTCAACAACCTAAATTAAAATGAAGGGACTATTTCAAAGTTCATGTCAAGCTATCAAAGCCAATGTGACTTCCACGAATCTCATGAGCTGAACTTATCGTTCTTAAGATAGTCATCACACATTACATATTACGCTCACGTGAAAATTACATTGCGGAACTCCTTAGGTAGTTTTTCACAATACTTTTGTGCGTAATGTGGTTACTCGAATGTCTCATTTATATCAATGACAGTTTTGACAGTTTCATGAAACCTTTGTACGAGAAAAGTTATTTATGTAACATTTTTCTGTGAATTTGATTTTAAACTGATTATGTGTAAATTTGAAATATAAAATAATGAGCAATATGGAGGAATAATGTATATATAGACAGTATGTTTTAAATGTCTTTTTCTTATTTTCCTCTCGGCAAGGATATGCTTCTAGACGTTAGCACACTGGCAGTCAGTTTCAAGTGAAAACGTTGGAGATAAAATAATCTTACTGTTCATTTGATGGTTGCATCAAGCGTCATAGCGTCAGTGGAAAAATGTCTTTAATTGGTTGCACACTCGTACATGTTACGAGCTTTCGCGGCAATCATTAAATTTTCTTTGGAAATGGAAAGGAGATGTCGATAATTGTTTTGGATCCAATGTCAGAACAGCTGGGTTAGAATTGAAAGATTTTATTGCAATTACCATGTGTGATAAGTTTTAATTTTCTGAGTGAGCGGTCAAAATGCACATTTGTCTGTGAGTACCATGGTAGAAAAATATTTTCAAGGGTTAGTGTTGTAAAATATGGACTTATAGTAATATGACCAAGCAAATGATATAATTATAATTTAGTACAATAAAATAGATACTTTGAATCATTGATGTGTTGTTGAAAAGGTTTCTACGAAGGCTTACCTATAATAAAAAAAAAAGTCGAAATTTTGGATTCCACAACTCAAATTTTGGATTCCACAAGTGAATAATAATTTAAAATATATAGGTGGAACTAGGAGGTTTTCGTAGGTTTCAGATAATTATTTTTGAAAAATAATGATATAATTGTAAAAAGTAATTTTGTAGTAATCTTATTGAATATCCGATAAATCTTTTTAAATAAAAGGTTGCAATTCTTGCAGATAAACTTTTTGTGTTTTATAAATACTGAACTGATACAACTGCTTTATAATTTATCCTTCATGATGTATGTTATCGTAGAATTTTGGCAATAAAATGAATTAATCCCATGCAATAAAATAGACAGAATAAATAATTATGTTAATTTACAGCTTGAATATTATGTACGATTTTATATGAATATAATGTTTTATATACAGTGTTTTTAAAATGACTCCTTAATGCGGCTTCATGTAGGTTTGCTGAACGATTTTTAAAATGTAAATACGAATATGTGTTTGTGTTACTCTTACAATATATATAAATGTACAATATTAGAAACTTTTTCTGTATAAAATAGAAAATTTTCCATAAGATATCAGAAAATTTTCCTGTAAAATTTTGTTTGTGTAAAATATCTAGAAATATGATCTGTAAAATAGAATTTTGGAGTCGATTTTGATATCTTATTACTGTTTCATTCACTGACGGGTAATTCAACTTTTCATCTTCATTTCTTTAGCAAATCTGTAGGCTATAAACCTCTAATATTGTAAACAAACATCGACAATTTGTCACCGTTCCAATAAGATATTTTGTTTTACTTCTATTTTTTTTTGCGAGCAGCTTTGACAATTGCAAGTTGTCCGGTACCTATCTTTATGGGATAAGAAATCTTCCTTTCTTTCTTTTTTTTTTTTTGCTCTTGTATTGCGAGTTGTTTTATATGAACTTGTAAATAAAGTGAAAAAGTCCCAATGAAATTCCAGTTGACAGTATCCTGGAATAATCTTTATTTGTGTGGTACGATTAAAAGATACATGTACATTTTATGACAGAACTGTTTATATATCTGTTTAATTCCAGGCCTGTGTTTACGAGGTTTATATCCTATAGGATGTATAGTCGATTATCGTCTTTATGATTTGAATGTTATTGATATGTAGATCTTCTACATAAAATGCTGGTTTTGCAAACCCCTTAATAGGTCTAGTCCAATGGGAACAGTATAAATTTTCTACAAAAGATGTCAGAATGTCGTATATTATATAGGATATCTGTTCATCGCGTGTTCGCAACAGAGAAATGTTACTCTGTAACAAGTCAGCCTATGTTCTCAAAACGCTGAATATTAAATTTACATTTATCAGATTCTTTGTTAAAAATTCATGAAGAATTGTCTACAGTAACAGATTTTGATGAGCAATAAAATTTCTTACGTTCGTGGTCTTTGTCAGTTACCATGTCATCACCAGTATACAACATATAGATTTTAATTCTTGTCTAAAGTTTAAATTGTTCCCATGTTGAATATTAGACATTTTGTATTCTTATTATAGTCGCTAGTGGCCGGTCCGTTTTAGACAATACGTACGTTAATCAGATCCTGCTGTAATTAAATATCTTATGGGGATCAGAGGGCAGTCTGATCGGACAAAATAAATTCTTTTCGCCAATCAAAAAAAATTGTATGTTGTATGGCACCTCATAGTAAATATCAAATACAGTTTTGTTTCAAGATTGTTGTTACGCAAATTTCAAGTTAATACGAAATTTAAGTTGTATTTAAATAATGAGAACGAACCGGTCACTTATTTTAGATAGTAGTTGTGTTGTGTCTTTTAGAAGTATTATCTTAGCTGATCAGGATGAAGTAAGTAATAAAACTCCATTGCTGACTTGAAGCATGCACAGGGATTTCATATTTCGTTATCGCCTGCAAGAATTCATTCTATATATTCTCTCCTTATTATGCCTATATTATATTTTTAGCGCTTCTAATCTCTAGCTTATTTAGCTGTTAAATAACTATACCGTGCTCTCTAAGGGTTCCGAATAGTTTAAAATAAATATACCAAATAAATATTATTAGCTATGTACACTCTCTGAAAGAGACATAGAGTAAACAATTCAATCGCAGAGTTTGATGAGTGTAAATTACCGTATATTTTATCTAGCATTGTAACCGTGTTCTGTTCTGTTCTGTTCATAAATTTAGATACTTCGATTGGCCATGTACAAAGTAGTCACTTAAAACGTTTTATTTTAGTGACATTTGTAACTTATTATTATTATAATTATTATCATTATTACCATTATTATTATTATTAATGAAAGAGAGAATGGTCCCATTGTTGAATAAAAGTTAATCATTTAATTAAATATTTGTTTTGTTTTTGACTATTTGTATGAATAAGCTATATTTATATTTGGGTGGAGTGATTTCGATTTTTTTTTCTATTCTAAAATTGAAAGCTCTGGTAACTCTTTGGCTTATTTTTTATTATTATTGTGCCCACGGCTGACCCATGTATGGAACCTGACACGAAACATGAAAATGAAATGAATTGAGTTTTAGATCTAACTTCACATAATGCCCTCATAGTAAATCTGAAATCTTTCAACTTTTAATTGTAATGTAATGACCTAGTTATCTAGAAAGAGTATTATGACAGGCGGTAAGATCAAAGGTGATATTAATCTCACATATCTAATAGAAAATGGTGGAATAAAAATATTCTTTGAGTGATATAAACTGACAGCTTGGTGAAATGAAAGAAAATCTGAAGTGATGTGTATTTAAACACATAATCATCCGCCGAGAATATGAACTGTAAACTCGATTGAACGCAGCTACCATCTTGATTTACATTTCAATTGGAGTCAGTTAAATTTCACAAGACATGAAAAACAGTGGTATAATGTCTTTTACAATCCAAATTATGATAATTCAAGTATAGTCTTATTTTAGAGTCACACAGATTTAGAGTCACTTAAGGTGGCGAAGCTATATAAAAGAGTAAGGCTATAAGTTTTGCCTAGGTCACACCCTCATGGATCACTCGGTCTCACTAAATCTCCTGGATGACCCCGGAAATGCCAATTTCCGCAGTGGTATCCGTAGCTAATCTGGTGCCAAAATCCGTGAATGTGTGAACTAGGCATTTCATAGCGGAACTTAACGGTTTTAAAATAATGAATCTGATAGAGTGAGTAATTTGAGTAGTAGAGTGAAAATCAAATTATCGTAGAGTTGATGAATGAAATAAACACTGATCATCATATAATTGATGTTACAGCAGGAAATATACCTAAATCCAGTACAGAGGAAAATTCTACCACCATTCCTGCAATCGTCGGGCAATGATAAAGTAAAAGGTTGGACTTTTTCGCCAAAGTATAGAAAAACATGTCTCCAACTTATTCTTAAGGTTTCAACTAAAATACCTCGAGCTGTTATAAGGCCAAGGCTAGATCAAAATGCTTAAATATTAATAATCACCTTCCGTTATGATGAATACTTTAAAACCAAATGCAGGTTGATAAATCAAATACATAAAAGTTAATAAAATATTTTAGAAATCTTTTCACGTATGTCTTTAATAATGAAAATTTTGCATACTGTCCCTTTACCGCAGAGTTTTGAATCGGATATTTTCGTTCATATAAAAAATAATCAGTAAAATCCGATTCAGCAACGATAGTTCGAAGACAGTTAAAAAATATACATAATTAATGTGAAGAGGACGAAGTTGCTGCATGGATGTTGGGTACTAATGCAACAAGGTCGATAGATGGGCCAGATAATCAAATTTTCAGTGTGTCCATGGATATTACTCTATTTCACTACACACATACGATGAAAAAGATAATCAACGTTTTGTTCATCTGTTATTATAAAATAAATCTGACTACGTTTAAAGGGAAATAACTATGAAACATGACCCCCTAATGAGGTTGATCATTATATTCATTAGATTGAAAAGTTAAATCATGTATCTAGTCCACTGTGTCCATGTTTTCCCTTTCACTGGCATATGAAATATTAGGACATGTATGAGAAAGTTTTAACTTAAAAGATAAGTTGCTGTCATATTTTGAATTATTATCCTTCATCCAAAAAAAAAAGACTGGATAACCGAGATACGGCTGAGTTCCGGTTCATGACATTCGCTTCGAATTATTTGATGTGGAATTCGTCAGGATACTTGTAAGTATACAGTTATCATTTAAGAGTATATAAATAGATTATACGTAAAGTTTGTATTTAACAATCGATTCTCTCATTCATAGTTTATATGACTGTCTTAATATAACTCTATTACTCAACAGGAAATACCACTGAATGCTCATAATGATGATTAACTCTGTTTAAAACTAAGACCACAGTAAATTTCTCTCGTAGGCTGTACAAAATTTGCTAATGGGGAGAAGGGCTGCCCCCTCTATCCATGGGCCCGATTTTTGTAGTTCAGATATGATTATACTCTGGAAAATGATAATTTTTGTTCAGCAAGAACTGTGTCTATAACATAACATAATAATATTTTTTATATCTTTTTAGTAGGCCTAATGGCTCATAAAACATTTTTTTATATCTTTTTAGTAATGGCTCCTGACTAGGGCTGATGATTCTTGGCAGCTACATCATATTTACATCTATAGCCTAATAACTTATTGGTTTAAAATGTTATTTAAGTATTCAATGCAACAAAAAATTGTTTACATATTTCACCTAAAAATTAGGGGCCAAAAACAAAATAAGCTCAGTGATTTTCCATATTTTTCTTGTGTGTCATCGATGAATTAATGCCATTGTAAAAATGAAATTCTATAAACGGGTATATCTGGTGTTAATGACCTGCTGGTCCTCAGTTGTCATCTTCTGGTGGCTGTGGGGAGATTTGGATGAGGGTGGATGTGGAAGTATCGTTGAGACTGAAGGGTGTGTTATTCCATGTTTCGACCCATTTCACGAATCAATGTGGGATTTTATCGGGTACAACTATGATTTGGGTTGTGACATTATGGAACCACTGACCTTTCAAGATGGTTTAAGTTTGAAAGTAAACGTGGGTATCGTTCTGAAGAAAAAAGACTTTGCCTATTGTGAGTATCAAGAGATTATACGAAACAATGATTGGGACGTTAGTTATTCTGATGAACGATTTAGATTTACTGGTGACGTACACAATATGACCGTCGAATTCATCCGAGTGCTTTGTTATGACGAAAACGCTGAAATATTTTATACAAATTTCCATGCTTTTACACCCAATAATAAAACCACGGTTGCCGAATTGGAAAAGTCACTGAGGAATCATAAAATTGAGAAGAAACCAAGAGAAATATTGAACGTTATTATGATCGGAGTTGATTCACTTTCAAGATTAAATCATATCAGACAAATGCCCAAAAGTCGACAGTTCCTGGTTAACAACATGGCCGCAATAGAATTTGTAGGTTATACAAAGATCGCAGATAATACAATCGTCAATATGATACCGATGGTCACTGGAAAGTTTTTAGATGAAGAAAAAAATCGGCTAGGAATGACTGAAAAACATATATATTTTGATAAGTTTGGTTTTATATGGAAAAATTTCTCGAGGGCTGGTTACACTACAAAAATGGCCAATGACGCCCCAAGGGGTGCAACATTTCACTATTTACAATATGGTTTCGATCAGCCACCCACAGATCATTATTTGCGCTCATTTTCTTTGGCTTTAGAACAAGACCCGTCTGCATGGCATAAAGGCTCGGATTGTGTATGGAATCGTTCAGAGACAAAACTAGTTCTGGATTACTCCTATGATTTTTTGAAAACGTATCGTAATAGACCTCATTTCGACTTTTCGTTTGTGTCTAGAATGACTCATGATTACGTTGAAAGCGCCCGTTATGTTGATGATGATTTTCTTGATCATTTTAAACGACTGAAACGTGATGGTTTGTTAGAAAACGCTATTCTACTTTACTTCGCGGATCACGGAATGCGCTTTGGCCCCATATTGTTCCATGAGATGGGTCAACATGAATTGCGCATGCCTATGATGTATATAGTTTTGCCGCGCTGGTTTAAATCAAAATATCCAGAAATTTACTACAATCTTTTAAACAATTCCAAAAAATTAACAACAGCATTTGATATTTTCGAAACATTGAAAGATGTGGTACATTTTACTGGACAACCTCGTCGTAATGTGAACTTGGAACAAAGGGGAATAAGTCTGTTTGATGATATACCGGAAGCAAGAGCTTGCGAGGACGCGGGTATATCGCCGCAATGGTGTACGTGTAAAAGGGAAGAAACTGTGCTCGAACGAACAGATCCGTTAGCTAAACGTGCAATAGCGTCCTTAATTTCTATTATAAATTCCAGTGTAAAGGAGCATGGAGTATGCGAAATAAGAAGCTTATCGCGTGTTCGTTCAGTGAAATATTTCCCAAGTAAAAATTCTCAAAAACAGTATTTGAAATTGTATATTGTTCTCTTTCCAGAAGAAGCTGAATTCGAAGCTACTTTACGGTTAACCGATACCGTGTTTATTTTGGATGGAGAAATCAGTCGAATAGATAGATATGGCAAAACAGGTGACTGTATCGACATTAGAGAATTACAGAAATTTTGTTTCTGTAAAGTCCAGCTATAGATCTGCAATATAGGAACAGAGTTGCATTTTTTTTTTTGACCAATCGTACCTTTGTCTCAGAAACGCCATTTTTTAGCCGTGCCAATCAGTGACCCTGCCCGCTTTTGAAAGCTAAAAATACGAGTCGTCTTATCTGGAGACACTGCCATATGTAGAAATAGCAAAAAAAAATTCCTAGTAAGTGATATTTTTTAAGAAATTATTCGATTTTCTTACATTTCTAGTAGACTCGAATCAATTATTTTTTTCTCGGGGCCCTTGTGTAAAGACTTATTTCTCATAGGTTAAGAGCAAATCCAAATTTAGGATGTTTTGAGATCTCTGGTTCCATCAATTCCAGAAAAACTAGACCACAATTTTGATGTTTTATACCATTAAAGCGTAATGATTCTTGTAGTACTGAATTTTCATTTTTCTATTTGTTTTTTTTGAAACTTCAACATTTACGAAGGTCTTAAAACACACACTAACAAACTAAGTTTTATTAAAGTAACGTTTCTTTTAATGTATAACAAATTCATTTCACAAAACAAGTACATATACAATTAATGTGGTGATTGTCATTGCATTTTTAGTCGAAAAATAAAACTATAGAGTTGGGTATTCTGTTGTTCGTGCATTAAGTATATTATTATTTGGTTTAAAATATATATTTGTAAGCATCTAAATGAAGCTCCTAAATAAAATAACATTGTATGCTCAATTATTTTGTCGATTTTTTATATTTCATATAAAGGGACGCAACTGAAATATCGTTCACATAATTAAGTTAAGTTACGAGTAAACATCTCAATAGATATGCCGCTTTTAAAGCAAAAAAAAAATGAGCTGTTTGATTGCTTAAGAAATCCGAAAGGTATTGTTGTTATGTATATTGTGTCGAACAAAACATTTGAAAATAATTACAGTATGTTATGAACCTCTTCTGGAATGCACTAAATAAACCACACATAAAATAGAATCTATCATTACTGAAAATCGTATTAATGTCAGGATTATGTAGAACTTATAGAAATAATTAAAATATCACAGATCGTTTAGATTGTAAATTCAAAATGTAAAAATGTATCCGGGTATCTTAGGTAAGACTTAGGACTTCATATCGTTAAAATAGATTGGTATATAACCAACGAATAAAATACTCTTATTTGGTGTTAAATGAATTATCAGTATGTTGGTTCCAATTGTAATATGTATATATTGGCGTATATTGCATATTTCCACGTGTATGTTCGTTATCAGTTTCATCTCGTATATCAACTTGACCAAAATTACACTCAGCATAGGATGGTGGAGCTATAATACAAAACAAAGAATTATATGAATGAAGTTGTCAATCTAGTATTAAAATCTTCTGAAAATTGCTGGGACAATTGCTTCTTACAATTATTAAACCGAGCAATCGGATCAATCAAACAAAGCCAGTCATAGACATGTCTCATGAACTCTTCATTGAAACTGAGTTTAATGTTTTTGAATTTCGAAAAATGAAAGTTACGTTAAAGCATAATATTATCAACTTACGCATATCAGGAGCCGATGGTTCTATGGGGATAGAAGTGGTATTGGTACTTGGCTGTGTAAAACCCTGTGCATCGGAACTGAAACCATATTGTTGCATTACTGACTGAAGGGGAATTGTACCAATCAGAATTTCTAATGGTACTGATAAATCAAAGCCTATACCCGTCGGATCGACGTTCATCTGAAATACAAAGATCAATGATGTAATTAATGAATGAAACACCGGTAGATTTTTTCTTTAAACACCTATATTACCCATTTTACAAATATACTTGACCGAGGTAAAGCCTGTCAATTGAGCAGCGTGTACGTTGTCTAGGAGAAGAGTATTTGTCAAGTTTATAATTGGAGGTAATTTCAGGTGTGATAAAAATGGGCAATTGTAATTCATTCATACTTCTAGTTTATACTTACAGTAATCATGTACTTGATGTCAATTATTCTACAACCTCTCAACCCAGAAGCTGGTAAAGGAGGGATAAGTAGCTGATCTCCGTTCCAGCTATCCGAATCACCAGGTTCAATTGGACCATGGATACGGTTAGACACCACTTGTGATACATATTTAGTTTTACATGTGGCATGATATTGTACACACTGAAATATAACACTTGCCAATAATAAAAGCTCTGTCTTGAGAAGGACAAAGGTAACGACGGCAGTGGCTATTTACCACTGGTGTGGTAAGCGTGGTAAATAGTCACAAGTACCCTTACAGCTATATACCACGGCGTGGCAACTTGTTAAATTAGACCAATGTCACCATGTTAGTCCATGGAGACATAACGTGGTAACTAAATTACCAGGTTTTTTTTTTATTTGGTGAATTTCATCCAATTTTTTTTAACATTTCAAACAATTACACTTTTAAGGTTTCAAAAATATAAATATTGTGCACATTTCATTGTCAGCACACTAACATAAGCATTTTAATATCCATAGCGAAGGCAAAAATTCGCTATACATCATAACATCGGTTTTCGGGCATTTTGGACGCTAAATTTCACAGTCTAAAAACTTTCTGCAATCGCTATATGTCCTCGGTATTGCCTTTATTTTCAGATGTCTATTAGTCTGCAATTCGTTTATATATACAATTTAAAGCTATACTTTTGACAGACTTTTATTGAATTTTTAAATTCCAAGCTATAATACTGTATATTCCTGGTTCCCAGCCTGCGTTTCTTTTCACCCCCTGAGGTGTAGGGTGCGGTCATTACTGACCTCGACTACATACTACAGTCAAACTCTATCATTGTCTGTATCATTACTAACCCCTACTATACACTACAGTCTAACACTATCAATATCAGTGTCATCACTAACCTCTACTACACACTACAGTCAAACACAGTCAATACGTGAATTATTACTGACCTTGAATACATACTATAATCAATCACTATCAATATCTGTATCATCACTGACCTCTACTACATACTACAGTAAAACACTATCAATATCTGTATCATTACTGACCTCTACTACATACTACAGTAAAACACTATCAATATCTGTATCATTACTGACCTCTACTACATACTACAGTAAAACACTATTAATATCTGTATCATTACTGACCTCTACTACATACTACAGTAAAACACTATTAATATCTGTATCATTACTGACATAATCCTTCAATGGCATATTAGAAGCACAAGTTATAGATAAATAAGACAATTATATGGATATATACTTCTGGAATATTTATTACTTCAACGTTTCAATGTGGTTCTCACACCGCCATCGGGAATATATATTATTGACATAGTCTACATACTACAGTCAAACACTGTCAATATCTGTATCATTACTGACCTCTTCTGTATACTGGTTTCAAACACGGATAATTCTGATACATGTGACTTTGAAGGCTCAAATTTTGACGGTGAGCTGTGAACATTATTATTGATTGGCTTAGCTAAAAGAATCCCGTTTCTGAGACTAAAGTATGATTGGTCAAAAAATTGGCGTAAAGGTGCATTTATACAGAGCGCGAACGCGAACGCGGTTTTTCGTCATGGAATGGTTTCATCATTTTATAGAGGGACCGTTCAAATAGAATGCGAACGCGAACGCGAACGCGAACAAATATTTGTTCGCGCGGTCGACCGCCGAGATTGCCCCAAGAGCGAATTTTTCAGAAAGTCGCGGCGGATTTCTTGCTATCAACCAATCAGCTTGTACCACCTCCCTTGCATCATTTCCTAAAATAGAAACTTGTGCACATGGCTTTTCCAATTTGCTTGTAGGGTACAAACAATGGATAAAACGGAAGTTTTGATTTTAGAAGTTGAAAAGAATCAAGTTTTGTTTGACAAAGCTGAAAAAACTTACAAAGAGACAGTAAAAAAGAAAGATATTTGGAAGGGAATCGGAGAGATGATTCCAAAATGACCATATGACCAAATTTTAACAACAAAAGAGGCGATCCGCATTGAAAGCCGTCTACAGTTTTCCGCGTTCGTGTTCGCGCTCTATTTGAATGACTGAACTGATGAAAAGTCGCGTTCGCGGTCGCGTTAGCGCCGGTCGCGTTCGCGTTCGCGCTCTGTATAAACCCACCTTAACTGACCTTTTATTTGTCCTGGTCGCAGTCGCAATAAAATTGTTCCATGCTGCATGAATCGAGTTGAAAAGTGAGCCATGTTTCCACTTTCTTGAGAACTTTAATTTGCAGTTTTCACATAATGTTTTGAAGTTCATGTAAATTCCGGACACTAAGAAATATAGAATCGTTTAGAGAAACAACATTGTGTTGGTGAAAGCAAGTTTCTGGACGACAAATTGGAAAAGGTATAAATGAAACTTGAAAGACTAACAATTCAGTTTGTTTTAGTCACATGATAGTGGACGGGTCCTTTTTAAATTTATAAGTGCCCAAATTTGACAATTAAACACATATTTAAACATTTTGTCCAAGCTCTGTGGATTATGGATTATTGTGTCACAAAATATTGTAGAACGAACGGACCAAGGGCAAACGAACTAGGGGCGAACATGTAGACCGAAAATGTATAGGGGCGAACGCGTTTAACAGCACTTACAAAAATATAAAATTCTAACCTCATGACCTAAGCCTGTGCTTTTATGGGATTTTTATTCTCATATCACCCTAATATCCATAGGACACAAAATTAAAATTTTTGTGGAAATATGCATTACTTACTCAGTGGCGTAGCCAAGATTTCATTGGCGGGGGTGATGGGCACCTTTACCCTCTTTTTGGATTTTCCACTGTAGTTATACTTGTAAAAACATAGTAATATTAGGAGACAAATTGCATAAAATGCAGGAATGTATTTTCAAAACTTATTCTCAAACAAAATACCTTTACGATCGTTTTGGGAAGATTATAGTCCTGAATTGATTTCGAATAGATATACTATAATAAGCCTGCTTTCCAATTCATTAACAAGATTTAAAGTAAATTTTGACTAATTTGTAATTAAGATCTATTGCCGAAAGAACAAATGAATGTACACTAAATTTCATACAACGCGGAACTTTTTAAATAGGTTTGAATTAAGAAGTATTCAGCCTTGAACCGTGATCTCTTCACAATCGGCCTTGACATTTATTTGTAAACAAACACGACATTTTCTTTTCAAAAAGGGAATTTTTGATGAACATAATGAGTATTTGATTGCAAAATCGTTATTTGGAATATTTAGGTAGTTTTAAGCAATTTTTCACGAAAGAAATATCAAATCATGACTGATTTCATTTACCACGTCATGGTAAATATCTGTAAGGGTACTTATGGCTATTTACCACGCTTACGACGCCAGTGGTAAATAGCCACTGCCGGTAACAAGACAATACAATAATGTTCTAACTGTTGCCCAGTGTCACATGAATGCTTTCTAATGATATTTTGCGTATCTATACATATCATGAATTTCCGAACATGTGGTTCTCTTGACCTTTCATCTCAAGAACTATTTTGAGTACAAATTCATTGATTCGGTTGAGACAAGTTTTCAGTGATATATCTATGAATCGACGTTTGAATCCATTTTTATCACGGAATTACATTAATCTTACCATATGCAAATCAGCAAATGTTTTTGCCATTTTTCTTCTGGAAGAGTTTCTTATTTCTGCATATAAAGGTATAACTTCCCCTGGTACATAGCCGAGTCGGTTGAGTTTAAAATCACACGTAATAGGACCAGAAGCACAACATAAACAACACAATGTCTTCTCACCGCTACCTTGACCTGTTCGCTGTCGATATAAATTTCGAAACATTAAAGCATTAAACAGCTGACAGGTGGGCCTTTATGTTCAGTTTCTTTTGCTGTTGAAATTTTTGACGTTACCAAGACCGAGTTGCGACATACTTGGAAAATCGATTTGACCTTGTCGCTATAAGCCTAAAGTGAAGTGCCGATATCACAACCGACAAGGAGCCACGTCGGCAAACCCCCAACCATTCGTCTTTAAAGGTCTGATACATTTGCAAAATGAACAAGTTCTTATTTGCTGCATAATCTTTGAAGATGATGTAGCAGAACCTACCAACGCCATGGGTTCCCTGTTTAGATCCAAAACATCAAGTACTGTAAAGGCACGTTTGGTATTATGATCAAATCGCCATGGTCTGTCAATAACACCAGTTAATGAGTATCGTACTCTACCAATATAACTTTCATAGGATGAGGGGATTCCCACAGGTAATTGATAATGGAAGGGGTATGTATATCGACCTGGTTTTAAGACTGGGTCTTCACCCGATTGTCCCGGACCTAGAAAAAACCTGACAATTGTAGATTACTATTGTTACATTTATTGCTTTCGAGAACATGTCAGGTGTAGAGCTCATATATGATAGAAACACTGTCAACCGTCATTATATTATAATATATATATATTAGTTACTGATGTGAAACGAACACAATAAACTATAGCACAAGTATAGAAATTTTATAATTCCACGAAGGAATTTTCAAAAGTGTATTTAAAATATTCATAGGAAACATACCTTTACCAAACAATACAATGCAATGATCAAAATAAGTTTCATGTGAAGAATAATGACGTGTTGTTGTACGCCGATTTTTACCACTTCCTGAAGAGTGTTGTTCCGTCCAGTGTACCCTTGCACCACCATTGAAATGTAGCCTTATTCCTCGAAAGAAATAAAAAGAATTCTTACTCAGAATCAAATTCTAGACATATACACTTTTATATTTTCTAGTATTATCAAACTAGCGTCATGTTTTGTTTTAAAAGTCTGAAATGGGCAGGATATGCTTGTCTCATTTTTAGCTATCTGACTATTTTCCTTGGACAATATGATAAAATATTGCGATAAAGTTTGTCATACTGCACATGATTAATGGTTATAACTACCTCTCATTTTCATTTCCTCGTTCAACTCTACTGTAATATAACCATCTATTGTCTGTCCCCCATAATAAACGGCTTGGGGGTTGGATAAGGTTATTTCAAAGATGTTTAATTTCCCCATGTTCTTATGTTGTTAGCTTTCAACTGAAAAGATAAAATAGTTTCAGAAATATGGTTTATGTAGACGCGACCTGGACATAACACACAACTTGTACGCTTGTCTGAAGGTCCAAGGTTCAATTCTGGCGTAGAAAGAGATATTACCCTCGGATCTGTATCCTACGGAGCCCCTTCAGCGCAATTTTCAACACTTTTTATTATTATTTCGTAATTATTTCGTTTAAATAAATAAATAAATATGTTTACAATTGCGCCTTAGGGGATCTATAGTATCCTGTCTGTGATGCAGGTCGGAGGGCTGATTTGAAAAAGGCGTCTAGTAAACCGAAACCCCGTGTATCAGAGGCTGTGCATGTTTAAGATCCCTCGACAGTTGGAAAATATCCGTCTCTGCACACAGCATGGCGTAAACCGTCGTCATTAACAAATCATAGAACATTGATTTTCATCTTTAATAGCCTTCCTGTGGATGGTTATTCTTTCCGTATTCCATTAATATATATTTCAATAAACTAGCATGATAACATGATTGAGAAACATCACAGCCTAACACTTCAGTATACAGTTGTATATATTATATTAAGTATGGTAAACTATAAATATAAGAACACTGTCTATTTACTTCTATAAATATTTCACTATTTCTTAACATGGCCTATTTAGATAAATGAACACCGATACAATAGGCCTATATCTCACTATAGGTCTGTCTAATTGTATACTAAAAACTCTGAATGTGAACAGAATATACACAGAGTATGACAGTGTTCAACCAAGTCGTCATATGACATTTATTTCTACGTCTTAGCGTCGTCTATTATGCGCTTTTAATCAGTATCAGATTGGCATGTTGCAGTACAGGTAGGACAGTAATTGGTTTAACTCCCCCAATCCAAACCTCGTATCAAGGATTTCGGATAGCCAAAAGAAAGAGAACTGGCCTTTTAAAAAAATATTCAATACATGAAAATGACAAATTTAAAAAAGCATTATTATCTTACCTGTTTTGGTTCACACAGTAAACATAGTATGCATTAGAAAATTGCTGACAGTAATTAACTGAATTAGCGTATAGCTAAGTTAATATAATGATAAGATGGACATACCTAGGTCATCACCATGTAAGTCTATAGTATAAGTTCTATAATAAGTATAATCTATGTTAGAAGCTCTACTAGGAAGATCTTTCACAGGAAACAGAAAGTGACTATCTATCAGTATTTCAGGAAGGTATTAACTAT